CGGTGCTGGGGCATGTGCTGGTGGGAAGATGAGGTTTGGTTCCCCAGAGAAGAACGCGCCTTTGGTCTCCTTGTTTGTATTTTGTAAAATGGTGTGTGGAGGTCTGTGTTGCCCTGAAGCCCCCCCAGTCCCCAGGCCCCCAGAGTGGGCAGATCTCCCTGTGCCAAGCAGAGACCTTCCCTCTCAACCACCACAAGAGCCAAAACAGGGTGCTTACAACTTCCGGTTGACCTTTGCCTCCTCTAGCGCCTAGCAGCTGGACTTCCTGTGACGTGGGCCTGTTGATGGGCAGCTGTGAGTGTGAAACAAGTGTGATCTGGGTGGGGAGGAGGCCTCCCTCCCTCCCCTGTGAGGCCTGTGCCCTCTGAGTGTCCTCCTGCTCCCTGCGACACCCCTTCTTGTCCAGTGCACACCAGGAGCCTGCACTGGGAGGGCGAGCCCGGAGACCTCAGGCAGCGGAGCTTTTAAAGCAGAGGCTCAGGAGCTGGGGTTACACCTGGCTTCCATCAGAGTCTTTGGTGCAATGACTTCTAGAATGCTTCAAGGAACTGTGGGGTGGAGGGCTTTGGGCTGTCCTCGACTGCATTCCCAAGCCACACAGGCAGGGAGCTGGATGGAAAACAGGGTCTCTGGGATTAGAGCCGGTGCCCATGTGGAATCCCGCTGTGTCAAGGCCAGGACTTTAACTGCTATGCTGTTGCGCTGGATCCCAAGGTGCAGCTTCTTGAAGTGCAGCAGAAGTCAGGTCCTCCCTCGCCTGGGCTCAGTGGAGGTTGGGGTGGCTTTGGAAGCCTGATTAGCCCTTGAGGGTCTGGGGTCAAAGTCTCGCCTCTGGAGGGCCCTTCCCAGTCCTGGGCAAACAGGTGTGCTGTAATTGGCAGGATGAGTAGCTTGTACATAAACCAGAGCTGCTGCAAAGGCAGGTGACTCAGTTTACCGGCAGGATTTCAGCCTTTTGAGAGGTTTCACCGTGAGAGTAACTCCTTTGGCTGTCTTAATTTATATTTGACATTAGACTAATTTTATTGGCATGGTTTTTCAAGACCAAGGAAAACCAAGTGATACACCCCACAGGCTCCCCCTTTCTGGGTGGGGCCTTGGCCAGGTCCAGCGCCTTCCCTGGGATAAGCAACATTGTTGTGCAAAATCCTTCACCACACTTTCCAGGGAGGAGCCTGTCCAGCCAACTGGATACCAGGTAGCCAAGGCAGGGACTGGTCACTTGCGTGTCTTCCAGTCCTTGGACAGCCCTGTCAGGCCTCCGCTCCGTTGCCTTCCACCTGCCGCTTGGCCAAACAGACACATCTGGAGAGAGCCTCGTGCAGCACGCGCAGGAAGGAGTGAGTGAAAGCGCCAGCACCCAGTCCCGCTCCGTGTCCTTGTAGCGTCTTGCTGCCCGCAAACACAGACTCTTTCCCCACCCCGGATCTGACACAGACCTGAGAGATTCCTGTGTGCCAGGGGAGTCACAGATGTGGAGTGTCAGAGGAAAGAAGGAAGGAAAGTGTGCAGGGGCCACGCTCTGCCCTTCCTGGGGCTGCCAAGAAGCTCTGAGCACCCAGCACGAGGCGGCCAGGTGGGTGCATGGTGTTCTGCACTCTGGCATTAGCTCCCAGGGCTGGATCCGTGCCACGTCAGACCTCGGACTTGGGGTCCGTGCAGGTCACGTAAGCCAGAGCTGCTGAGCAGTGGAGTCTGCCCCCACTCCCTCCATCCCAGGCCTGTAGCAGCCGTGGCAGCATTCAGCTAGGAAAGGGCAGGAAGTTGATGAAGACAGAACTGTGAGAACAATCGGTATGTGAAGGAGAGGATCCAGCTCAGTGGCGTGAGACTTTCTCCTGGCACTGTCAGCCTGACAGCTTCTGATTCCTGCTTGTTCCATCACAGGGCAGGTAGTATGTCAAGTTTCCTGGCAGCGGTATTAAGTACCCTGACTCTGGCAATTATTCTAAAGGTCATTAGATTAAAACACCATCCCTGGCCCGGGCGGCATGGCCTAGTGGCTAAAGTCTTTGCCTTCAATGAGCCAGAATCCCATATGGTAGCCAGTTCTAATCCAGGCATCTCCACTTTCCATCCTGCTTCCTGCTCTTTACCTGGGAAAGCAAACTAGGATAGCCCAAAGGCTTATGACCTTGTACCCACGTGGGAGACATGGAAGAAATTCCTGGCTCCTGGCTTCAGATTGGCTGTTATGCTCACCTGGGGACTAAAGCATCGGATGGAAGATCTTCCTCTCTGTCTCCCCACCTCTCTGTTTCTCTGACTTGGTAATGAAAACAAAATAAAACTTAAAAAATAAAAACGCCATCCCTTAGGGCCAGGGCCGTGGCCACAGCAGGTAAAGCTGCTGCCCACAGCACCAGCATCCTGTATGGGCCCCAGTTCAAGTCCTGGCTGTTCCACTTCTGATCCAGCTCTTTACTATGACCTGGGAAGGCAGCAGGGGATGATCAAGTCTTTGTGGGACTTGTTCATTGTGTCCCAGGTTGGAGACCCAGGAGAAGCTCCTGGATTGGTTCTGCCCTTTGCTGCATTTGAGGAGCAAACCAGTGGATGGAAGATTCTCTCTCTTTCTCTTTCTCTGAATTTCTTTATCTCCGTAACCCTGCCTTTCCAACACAGAAGCAATAAAAAAATTTAAAAAGAGGAAGAAACAAAGTTTGCTATTTTATTTTGATTTCTCAAACTACATTTTATTTGCAGCTACGTGATTCTATGAAATTCTTCTAAATAATGACATAAAACAGAATTCCTTGTGTATAAATAAGTTATATACTATTTATTAAGTAAATGTCTTAAGGGACTAGAACAAATGGTCCACTCCTACAGTGTTCTCATCTCCAGCAGAGTTGATGCACAAAATATATATACTCAAGTCCAATATTAAAAACTCAGGCACTTGACTAATTTTAATAAATTTTCCCAAACTGTATCAATATATCTAATGTGCATATATATATATTTTAAAATATTATTCTCTATAACTTCTTTATAAAAATAATTTTGATGATTTTGTCCATCTAACTTCACCACTATGAAATTGAAGTTTTAACTTGTAATGTGTAGTAAGGTTTCAGCATTACACCAACAGAATCAAAGAAGCTTGTGAGGTGCTAACAAGTGAGGTTTAATCCAGTGATTCCAGTCACAATGGAGGAGGGGGCACCCATGTCACTGGAATTGGGCAGAATGGTTTATTCTTCCTTCCCTGATTTGGGTAACCAAAGGGAACAGGAGGAGGATAGCGAATCTGATGACCATTCCCTCAGTACGTTCCGGGCTTTTGTCTGGGCAACGGATGCCACATTGGAAATATCACCATGCCACATGGTGGTAATATCAGTTCTGATATCTGGTACACAGGGCTTGGAGCTGCAGGCACAGAGCTGGGTTTCACTTCCATTTCCTTACTTGTTTCTTCATCTGAAGAAGATGATCCCGAATGATAATCAGAGGTAACTTTATCAAGAGCCCTGGTAACTTTCTTGGAGATTTCACCCTTATTCTCATCCTCATGTTCAAAGCTGGCAACAATGAATGCATTGTTCTTCTCTCTATACCGACAGCACAGTTCACATGGGTCCACCCAGAGAGTGAGCTCCTTTGGCAGGCCTAGGTCACTGTATAAGATGCAGCTATTTTCCCAGGGCCTTCAGGACATTAGGATCAACTCTCTGAAACATACTGACACGAATGCACCTGTAGGCCTGCCAATTGATGACGTTTCTGGATTCCAGTGATTTTTATATTTCTCTTGCAGTATTAGAGTCAGTTTCTCAGCAAACATCTCAAATGCCGTTTTTTCAACTTGTCATGCTTTCAAGCCAGTCTTGAGAAAAAGAAGACAACAGCAGCAATCTTGTTCTTCATTTTTTACCCCCAGTCCGGCTTCCTAACAGCTGCTGCAGCTGGGGGGTTGCAGATTCAGCTGCCTCTACCGTGTCCAGGGCAAGCACCCAGGGTGCCAACTCAGCCACCAGCCCTCAGACCCCAGGAGCTCCAGGAGCCTCCTTCTGTGCGTGCAGCTCGCACGTCTTCAGGAAGCCCCGCATGTGCTGGGAGGATTGAATTTATTGTTATTAAAAAAAAAAGGAGGAGGAAGGACATCCGTGCATGCACCTGCTCCTTGCCTCAGTTTACTCAGTCTCTGATTGCTTCATCTTGTCCCTGAGTGGTTTAGATGTTGATTTGTTTTCAGTTACTTAAAAGGTGGAGAATGATAGAAGGAGTGAGATCAGCCCCCCATCTACTGGCTCCCTCTCCAAATGCCAGCAACAGGGCTGGCAGGCCAGAGCCATTCCAGGTCTCCCACATGGGTGGCAGGGGCCCGGATGCTCTGGCTGGCCCCTCAGTTTGCCTTGGCTGAGAGCAGGGCACAAAGTGCCTGCCCTGTGTGTGCTGTCAGGTGGCCCGTGTGTGGAGCAATAGGGGAAGCAAGGATGTGTGTGTGCCTGTGTGTGTGTGTGTGTGTGTGTGTGTGTGTGTGTGTGTGTGTGTGTGTCTGTGTCACTGAGAGCCCTTGGGAGCCTGCGGCAATGCCACATCCAGCCTAGGCACCTTGTGTCTTCTGAGAGCCAGAGGTGAGGTGCCTGACAGTGCCATTTGTGAGTCCCATGCTGTTCTACCATGCTATGATTGCTGCAGATGCCCTATGACACAGAAGGAGCCATGAGGCCCTTGAGACATCATGGCACACGCCAGGCTCCGCAGGTCAGTGTGGGCTCAGCTGAAGGAGGAGCAGCTGCGGCAGGAAGGGTCAGCACTGCCTCTGAATGGATGTGCCGAGCACCCGAGTGCAGGGGTCCCCTGTATCTGCCCTGAGCCAGGAGGCCTTCATCCCACTGCTGCTTCTGTTTGCAAGTGATTAGCCACATTCTGCATTCCTGGGCCAGGGGCTTCTCCCATGACACGCAGTGGGGCCGCTGCCCCCTCCAGAACAAAGGGACTCATCTACTCACAAGAACTGTCTCCTTTGTCCTTCCCCAAGTCCAACCAGGATGCCCGTCATGGTGGAAGACGTCATGAAGCTGTTGTGCACCCTCTCTGAGAAGAGAAAAATGAGAGTGGCTTTCAAGCACTCGCTCAAGGGCGCCCTGGTCGCAGGAGCTGTGGTATTCATGGGTGGCTTGCTGGGTGGTCCACCAGGAATTGTTATCGGTAAGTGAGGTGTCTTGCTGGGCCAGTGAGGCCAGCCGGGAGGGTGTTCTGAAGGGGAAGGGTGCACACAGGGACGAGGACTCAGTGGCCTCTCCTCTGTGGAATGAGTGTGTGTATGGAATCTAGCCTGTGAACGGCTCAGAAGTGCCCATGTCTCCCACACCTCCAGCACTAGTCTGCTCTCGCAGGCAGGTTGGGGGGACCCTGGCCCCAGCCTCCCCGCTCCCCTACCGGCCTGTGTCCATGGGTTCTGGGTTCGCTCAGCAGCAGCATCACAGGTCATTTTGGAAGGGAGCCAGGAAGGAAGCTGGTGTCTGCGGCACATGTGACCACGAGCAGAGGTTGCATGGCTGGTCTGCAGCAGCTGGCGCGTCCTCCTTCTGGAAGCACAAAGTCCGTGCAGGGAACAGCACAGACAGCGCCTCTGCCCCAGGGCCGGCCCTCCTGGGCAGCCTGCAATGGGTGGGAATGAGAGCTTGGCTCATTTCTCAGTTCGTTCTGCAGGCCTGAGTCCTGGAGGCCAGACGGGCTGCACCCTTAGATATCTGATTACTGCTATTTCAGAACACAGGCATCTTAAGATGCAAATCCCATGTTGTGTGTGGCAGGAATTGGCTGACAAGACTGGCAGCTGCCCCTTCAATGTTATCGCACGCCCTATCTGCCCACTTCCCTCCTGTTGTGTACCTGCCCAGCTCCTGAAGGTCCTTGAGTCTGGACTCATACTCTCAGGCCCCTCCCACGGGTGTGGAACCTTACCCAGAGCACACCCTCACTTTAACACAAGTTTGCAGTTGGAAATGGTGGTGTGCCCCTGTCAGAGGGCAGGTAGGCTATCGGGGGTCCTCCCGTCCCGCAGAAGAAATCACCCAACACTTGAGAGAGTCTCCAAGGCGCTTTATTCCGATCTTCTGTTGTGAACCATTATGACCGCTAAGTCCGTTATGCTCCAGCCCCTCCCCCGCCAAGCCCCTGGTTTATCTGTTAAACTTGTCCAATCAGCTTAAAGATACCAAGGCAGACCAATCAGGGCAAAGGGCCAATCACAGGGCAGGAAATGGTCAGTGCCCCCAATAGCTCCCTCTTCTTGTTTTATTAAGCAAGGGCCCGTGCCTGTCTTAGGTTTTCCCAGTTTGGGCTCCCCTTACCTGTCATGGGCTAACCACGTGGCTAGGAACGTGGCGCCTGTCTTAGGTTGGTGAAGCAGTATCGGATACTTACCCGTCTCTGGCTACCAGTCCAGCATGCCTAGCCAGACTTCTGGGGATTCTCTGTTGTGAAGTGCAAGCACAGCTTGCACTAGCAGCTGCTGTTACTGCTGCTGATGCTGTGCTCAAGGATGAAGCATCCACAGACCCCAAAGAATTATAATTAATAAGATAAGGCCCAGGCCTACTATACCAGCCCACTGGTGTGCAAAGGAAAGATCCTTTAGTATACAATTTGTCCATTGCTCTACCATGGCAATCTCTGCTTTGGTGCTATTTATTGCTATATTTTGGGATCTTAGTTCCTAAGTCAAATTATCAAATCGTATGGACCAGCTTCCATTAGGGAATAGCATAGTGGATAACTCTCTGGACAAATTCAATGCTCGGGAGCCATTGGTGACAATAGAGGGAGTCACACACATTCCAGGTAGACTAAGCACACAGGATGTCGCCATATGATGGAAATAAGTTGTGGAATGCGTAGCAGCACCGCAGTGCCAGAGCCCTTCCAACACTGGTTAAGGGCTCACTTAACTACGGAGCAATTCAAAAGGGTAACATTAGCACTTATGGAAACAATAAACATAAATGGAGCTTGTACACATACATAAATAGCATTATAGATAACATCACGACTGCAATTAACTTTAACATCTTCTTCCCATATTCTAGAACTATTACTACAATAATTACAATTTCTTATCACTACCTTATCAATAAATGCAAAAGCTGATATATCTTAACACCCACCCCTACTAGTGCAAAGTACCCAGACATTCCCAGACTTAGCAGAAACAGATTGAACAAGGTTACCATGTGTATAGTTATACCCCACAAAGGCAGAATTTGAACAGGTAGGAAATAAATTGGTCACAGCAAGACCAGGTGCTACTCTTCTAGGAGTCACAGTACTTTGACAGCAGTCCATTCTGGGGGCCATTTCCAAGGCCCTAGACAGCGAGTCAATATTTGCTGCACACCTTTTATGGTGCAGTTTTAGCTGGAGATTCTGGCTGTCTCCTCTCGGTATCTGAATGAACATCAGGCTGGTCAGCATCCACCACGTCCACAGGTTCATCTTGCTCTGGCTTTCTTATCACGCGCGTCAAACGTTCTGGCACCCACACCTGTCCATCAGAATCCTGCGGAAAAATACAAACCACTCCTCGCATCCATCGTAAGACAGGATGCGGGCCCATCCATTGTTTTGTTAAAACATCCTTCCACATCACCCAATCTTTGCAGGGGCCTGCGCCAACAGCATGGTGTTCGGCAGCAGAATGGCCATCCAAATCCATAATCAAAAAATTAAAAATATAAGTAACTAAAGCCAATTGATATTTAGGACTATTGGGATATAGGGTGGCTCCTACTCCCCCTTTTTGTTTTATTAATAATGCTTTGAGAGTTGCATGGGCATGCTCTACCACAGCCTCGCCTGTGGGATTATATGGGATACCAGTAGAGTGTTTAATCGCAAATTCAGAACAAAACTTATCAAATGCTTTGGCTGTATAGGCAGGTCCATTATCAGTCTTATAAAATTGGAGGACGCCCCAGGCTGCAAAAGCCTGAAGGCAATGAGATATAACATCTTGAACCTTTTCCCCTGTATGAGCTGAGGCATAAAGAACCCCAGAGCAGGTATCAATAGAGACATGAATAAAAGAAAAGTGACCAAAACTGGGAACATGGGTAACATCCATCTGCCATATATGATTAGGCCTAAGACCACGGGGATTAACCCCAAAGCAAGGCTGGGATAAAAATGGGACACAATTTTGGCATTGTCTAATAATACAAAAATATGGTCAGATCCAATTAATATGCTCCAATACCTGTTGGAAATCATTAAGGGTCTTTAAACCATCCATTCTGATTTTTTTTTTTTTGCATCTCCATAAGTCTTTCTCACCTTCCTGTATAAGTCGTCTGAATTTATCAGTGCCATCTGTCAGGCAAGACTTAATCAATGTCCAGAACCTGACCGTTCCTGGAGGAAGGGGCTCCTGCTGTTCTACCTTAGATAAGTCTCTGCCTAAGTGCTCCCATTGTGGCAGAATCAAAAGACTCATCTCCAGAAACCAAGGGGCGATCCTCTGCATAGTTTGCAAAAACAACAGTACCGTCAGCAGTTTCTGCAATAAAGGCTGCACGTGCACTGAGGAATTTAATTTGCCCTTATTTCTAACATCTCTGATCATCGCTAACCTGCAAACTTGACTGATCGTCAAATCGCAAAATTGATAAATCATTAACCGTGAACTTGAATGGGCTTGCTAAACCACCAACCTGAATGGTCGTTAAATAGCAACCCTGAATGGCGGTAAACCCCGACCCTGAATGGTGGTAAACCGCGATGCTGAATGGTGGTAAACCACAATCGTGAATGGGCGGTAAACGCGATTGTAAATGGGTGGTAAACGCGATCATGACTGGGCAGTAAACACAATTGTGAGTGGGCGGTAAACACGATCGTGAGTGAACCTGAATGAATCTGAATGGTCTCTAGACCCGAGCTTTAATGGTCGCTACCCCACGAACTTGACGTGCATGTCCCTGCTGCTATCAGCAGCTCCCTGAGGTAACCCGAAACCTCAGCTTAAATGGGCCCCCAAACTCGCTGCTGGGGCTTCCTGAGCAAAAAGCTCAGTTGTAAACTAATTCCCGCTGTAAGCGGCTCCCTGAGCGATCTGCTCAGCTTACCTTACCGGCGTTCACCAGCTGACTTCTATCCGATTCACAGCGCCAGTTATCTTCTATCCGAGTCACGGCACCAAATATCGGGGGTCCTCTCATCCCGCAGAAGAAATCACCCAACACTTGAGAGAGTCTCCAAGGCGCTTTATTCCGATCTTCTGTTGTGAACCGCTAAGACTGCTAAGTCCGTTATACTCCAGCCCCTCCTCCGCCAAGCCCCTGGTTTATCTGTTAAACTTGTCCAATCAGTTTAAAGATACCAAGGCAGACCAATCAGGGCAAAGGGTCAATCAAAGGCAGGAAATGGTCAGTGCCCCCAACAGTAGGCCATGCCATGGCATGATCCATGGGAGGGGCTCCTGGGTCCTCTAACCTCCTGAGTTCAGGGAAAGTTTCCTAGGTTCCAGGGCAAGGAGTGTGTCAGACACCCAGGGGAGGAAGCAGGGTCTCACCACTGAGCCACTTGTCCTCCAGGGCCTCTATGCAGCTCAGCTCCCTTGTCTGCAAGGCAGGAGATGGTGTGGGAAGCCACTTGAGGAAGACTTGGCTCACAGGCAGCTGTGCTTTGCTCCACATTGGTGCTGCCATCAGGACAAGGGGCACTTGGATATCCATTCCCACAGGCAGGGGCAGCAGAGGTCTGCCCTGCCTGCTGCCTGCAGAGCTGAGCCCACCCGACCAGCTCCACCACTGGCCCCTCCTCATGGGCTCAGCGAGAAGCTGAGGCTGGCATGTGTCTGCAGGCCTAACTGCTGGCTCCCTTGTTTTCCAGGTGGGTTGGTCGGGGGCCTGCTAGGTTTCTGGATGATGAGTGGACAGTTCCAGCCCGTGCCTCAGATCCTAATGGAGCTGCCCCCGGCCGAGAAGCGGAAACTCTATAATGAAGTCCTTGCCATCATGCGGCATGTGAACTGGGATGACCTTGTTCAGCACGTCATGCAGGGGAAGGTCAGCGAGCCCGTACAGAAGCTGCTGGCCATGTTGGCACGCTACTTCATCAAGAAGCTGCCGGCCAAGATCCGCTATGATGAATAGGCCACCCTGCCTAGTGACTCTCAGAGGGGTTGTGGTCCAGGGGAGGCTCTGAATGTCCTCTCTGCCTGGAGTGGTCTCCCGCCTGAGAAGATACTGCTATGCTGAGACATTTTCCAGAAGTTATTTCCCAGTGTGCCCTGGCTGCCCTCTGACCCAGAAGTTGGCGAAAGGTGCAGGCACCCCCGGCCTAGGCCCATGGGGCAGGTTTCTGAGTTGCATTTTAGGTGCTTGGGCGGCTAGAGGAAGTCGTCATGGCCCCAACACAGTTCTCTCTGCCTTCTTCCCTCCCAAGCACCTGTGCAGGAAAGACCTGGAGCGCTCCATGAATAATGATGTGACCTCCTGGGTGTACTCCTGACCCTGCCCCAGAAGTGGGGGAGGGCGCTCAGCCCATAGAACAACCACCTAGTCCACGCAGGGGTGTTGCTTTCCAACCTGAGGAATCAGGGTAGTCCAAATGTTTGTTTTGCCCAGTATAAGGAGTGTCTGCAGCCTACAGATTGCCCTCATTCTGCTTCAAGTGACAATAAATCTGAACAGTCGCTCTTCCACATGTTCCTTGTGAAGTATTTCTGACATTGAAAGGCCTTTGAATGAGACTGAAAGGAAAACTTTGATTGGTGGGTTTCTAGAAGAATGGACAGCTCCCCTCCTAGGCCAACACTCTGGTGCCTGTCCCTGCAGCCCCCAGGTTGGCCAGCTCCCTGCCCTGCCACCCTGTGTGGGCAACCAAGCACCTGGGCAGGGTGAGGCCTTGGGACCCTCTCCTGGGACTGCAGGCCTGGAGGCGGCCCAGCCAGTCCGTGGGTGGAGGGAGCCAAGCTGAATGTCCTGGGACCCCATGCCAAGAAATGTGCAGGGTGAGCCCTGAGCCACGGGTCCTTCCAGGGGCTGCCCCAACATCCATCAGGTGCTCTATGGCCACACTCCTGCAGGTGGCAAAGTCCCTTTGGGCATATATGTGCTGGCGGAGGGGGTGGAGGCAGGGGCCACTGTCCAGGAGGCTGAGGGGGACCCTTCCTGCTCTTCCTGCCAGATGTGCCCTCCACCCCGGCCCCTCCAACTGACAGTCCTCAGTCAGGGTCCTTCCCACGCGCGCTTTCCTTGTGAGGACTTCACAGTTGTTCTGTTTAGTATCATAAAGGTAAAGACATTGAAAACTGGAAGAAAGACTTCTCAGGAAGTTGCTGAGAAAGAGTCTCAGTTTCAATGAGACACCCAATTGGATCTCAGCTCGCCTCTTGGGGACACTGGCACCTACCTGCCCACTCATGCTGCACTGCCAGGACATGGCCACACCCGGACGGGCCTCCTGGGGTGCAGTCCACAGGAAACTCACCCTTCAGAGGACCATCCCTCCCTGCCCAGTGCTGGCCAGCCCTCGGGGTGGGGCAGGGCGGCTCCAGGACTCACCCGCCCTCAGGCTCTCAGCTCCTGTGGGTGTTTACATGTCTGGATCTTTGCCATGATTTGTTTTCAGTGGAGAATCCCTGCCTGGCACAATGGAAGGTGCCAGTGGGTTCAAACTGAAGTGGGCTTTGCGCCCCTCCCCATAGACATCAGAGGTAGCCACTGAACCGCTTCTTTTTAAAGATTGATTGATTATTGATTTGAGAGGCACAGTTACAGAGACAGAGAGACGAGAGGGATCTTGCATCTGCTGTTCACTCCCCGGATGGTCACAGTATCCAGAGCTGGGCCAGGCTGAAGGCAGGAGCCAGGAGCTTCTTCCAGGTCTCCCATGTGGATGCAGGGTCCCAGCAGTTGAGCCATCCTCCTCTGCTTGCCAGGTGCCTTAGTGAGAGCTGGACCGGAAGTGGAGCAGCTGGGACTCCAACGGCACCCACATGGGATGCCAGCATAGCAGCTGGCAGCTTTACCCACTGCTCCACACTGCTGGCCCCTGTTTGCACTTCTCATGCATTTCTAGTCTCTGTTCATTTCCTTTTTATTTGTCAATGTTTTTTGCTAAAAAAAAAATAAAACTTGGAAAAATATAAGAAAATAAAATCACTATAAATTTTACCCCCCGAAAACTGCTGCAAGCAAAATGTGGGTCTTTCGTGTGATTATTTAAAGCTGTGCTTGTACTTTTTAACACATTACTATACACCTGTTGGCGTGTGTGTTCATGAACATTAAGTAATGCCTTTGGTGTGGTTCCATATTCCTCTGCACGTCCGTCATGGCTGCACAGCACTGCGGTGCCCAACCACACGGTTCCCTTTGAAGCGCGATGTTACAGCGCTGTGGGCCCTTCACATCTGGGACAATCACAGGTGGGCTTGAGGAAGGACTTCCACGGAAGCTCTGGATTCAAAAGGGAATGTGTTTCACTTGCTTTATTTTTCTCTATTGGAGAGGCAGGGAGAGAACTCACTGGGTCCCCTGGCTCACTCCCCTGAATGGCAGCAATGGCCAGGGCTGAAGCCAGGAGCTGGAACTCCACCTGGGCTACCATGAGTGACAGGACCCCCTTCCTTGAGCCCAGAGCTGCCCCCTGGTTGACAGCAGTAGGAAGCTGGGTGTCAGGCACCTGGTCCAGGGAACGCTGTCCTGGTGACATTTAGTAGGGGGTGACATTCCTTCCACACAGAGGCAGCATTCCACCCTCCAGGGAGGACCTGGATTCCCTGGTGAGTGACTGTCTCCCTCTAGTTTGAGGTCTTTTTCCTTTCATCCCGTCAGATGGGGCTGAAGGGCCTGTGGGGTCTGCAGGGCTGAGGCACCAGGCCACAGCACCAGGCTGGGGCAGCCCGCGTGGCAGCGGCGCCATCTGCCGGGCGAGTGTGTCATAGCGGGGCGGGCGGCAGGGAGCGCGGGCGGCTTTCCGCGCTGGTCCGCGACGGGCAGGCGCCACCTGGCGGGCGAGCCGGGGCAGCGCGCTCCCTCTGGGAGGGTCTGGGGACAGACAGCCCTGAGCCCTACAGCCTCTTGGCCTGGATGGCAGAGCGCCTGTGGATCCTGAGCCAGTGACCAGGCCGTTATAAAAAGCCAGGCTTCGTCGAGCAGCGCAATGACCGCTGGGGTCAGTGCATCCGATTAGACCAGGTCCTTCCTGTACATTGGAGAGCAGCAGAGCCGGGGCAGGAAACAGGGACCCCCAAATCCTGGCGAATGAAAGGGGTGGGGTGTGGCCCGCCTGCCTGCCTCTCTTTCCTTTCCTTTCCTTTCCTTTCCTTTCCTTTCCTTTCCTTTCCTTTCCTTTCCTTTCCTTTCCTTTCCTTTCCTTTCCTTTCCTTTCCTTCCCTTCCCTTCCCTTCCCTTCCCTTCCCTTCCCTTCCCTTCCCTTCCCTTCCCTTCCCTTCCCTTCCCTTTCCTTTCCTTCCTTCCTCCCTCTCTCCCTCCCTCCCTCCCTCCCTCTCTCTCCCCTCTCTCCCCTCTCTCCCCTCTCCCTTCCTGCCTCTCTCCTCCCTCCTCCTTCCCTCTTTCTAAGATTTATTTGAATTTTTTTTTAAGTAGATCCGGAGAGAGAAGGAGAGATGTTCCATCTTGCTGGTGCCCTGCTCAAGTGGCTGCAATGGCTGGAGCAGAGCTGATGCAAAGCTGGGAGCCAGCAGGTTCTTCTGGATTTCTCACGTGGTTGCAGGGTCCCAAGGCCTTGGGCCATCCTCTGCTGCTTTCCCGGCCATTAGCAGAGAGCTGGATCAGAAGTGGAGCAGCCAGGACTCCAAGCAGCGCCCATAGAGATGCTGGCACGGCAGGCTGAGGATGAGTGTGCTATGTCACAGCACCTGTTCTGGACAGAGCTTTCCTAACTGTGGACCTGGACAGTTATTGTATTTTATGGGTTTTAGAGGATAAGTTACTGTGTCAGTTAGTGAGTAAAAATAAACACGGTGATCCAGGCAAGAGCCGGCAGAGTTTGTGAAAAGGTGCCATACACATATGTACACACACGCACACACACGTACACACACAGGCAACATGCCCACGCAGTACAAGCACACAATACGTACATGCATATATACATACAGACATCCATGAACATGTTCACACAAATACATGCAGATACATGCACAGAGACACACAAACACATGCATATGCCCACACAATACAGACACACATGTACAGTCACACACATACACACACGCACCCATACACACATGTAAATGCACACACAGAAGCCAGAGTCCAGCTCCAGCTGAGTTCAGAACTCGTTCATGGAGTAGGCGTAAAGAGAAAAATGGACCACTACGATTTCATGATCATAATGGACAATACAGAAGCCATTACAAGCTCTGGCACAGCCTTTTGACGTCATGGTCAAGTGGGTGTTTCCAAGGATAATCCTGCCAATTGTTTCACCTTAAAGCTTTCAATACATGGTTCGTATCAATCAGAAACACATTCCTACTACAATCCTGATTCTACAACTTAATCTTGAATCAGTTAAGGGAGGAAATGCATCACAAAAAGGGGAGGAACTGAAGATCAAGGATGGTCAGTGGGGGCAGCAGAGACAGAGACAGCATGGATTGTGAAAGGCCCTTTTGCAAGACATTATCACCAACATGAACTGCCAAGCTCGCATTGACAGTGAACACCAACTCCGCAAACAATGCCTGAATAGATTACAGAATTCTCAGCAGGGTGGTCGGTGTCCTCGCAAGGGGAGGTGGAGATGCCTTCAGGTGGATGCAGAGACGTGCACCGGGCCCTGCCAGGCAGCGGGGAATTCCTTGTGGTCCTGCCTGCAATTGCTGGGGTCCATGCAGTGCATGGTGGACACGAAGGTGTGAAGAGTATGGTTCCATTGAGGCAGGCCCGGTGGATGTCTCTACAACCACCTGAACGCAGCTCCACCTTCCTTTGCATGGGCACCAGACCACCCTGCGGAAAAATTCCCATCCATCCAGGCATTGTTTGCTGCTGTGGAGTTGGCTTTTTACTTAATGTGAGCTTGGAGGTTAATGTCAATAATAACATCTTGCAAAAGGGCCTTCCATTATTCCTACTGTCTTGGCTGTCCCCATTGAACTGGAGCTAATGTAGGGACC